ATCAGGAAAGCTTGTGTAATGTCTGGTTCCAGACTTACAGATGAATAAGTTTCACCACAACTCAAAGGATGTATGACGTGCGGAGAAATTAAGCTAAATACTTAATTAAATTAAATTGGCAAATTTACTATGACTCACCCGATGAGGTATTTCTACAACTTTTGTGCAACTTTTTCAGCAGAATTTAGTCTAAAATGAGAAGGATCCATTCACCGAATAGATTCTGACCACATCAAGTGAATTGACTGGAAATGTTTTGCATGCCACTGTTAAATTTTTTTAACCTGCTTTTTGAAATTTGATTCGAAAACACGACTTCACTTGGCAGAGCTGCTGGTGCAGATGACGGGCGAACAGATGATTATTTGTACTAGTTTTGAGAGCTGTGACATTGTCATGCCGCGTTTCTGCTTTTGAAATGTCTGACTGATAAAAAGCACAAAATAATAATATATTTGGACATATTACAACATAGAGATATATACAACTTCACATTTCTTTTAATTAAGATCGGGGCTCTCATGTATTTTGAAAACACACACAAACAGGCCCAGTAAGACACTGGTCCTGGTTTTGGACTGTGGGAGGAAGTACCCAACATGAACCCACACATGGATAGAGAGGACATGGAAACTCAATCCAGAAAGGCCTCAAACCAGTAGACAGAAACATGGATAATTACATTTAAAAAAAAAAAAAATTCTGCAACGTTTTTAAAGTTTTCTAAAAATTCGTAAGACAATCGGCTAGAAGCTTCGCTGTATTGAGTCAAAAAAACTAAATGAACTCAACTTTTTCCTAAAAAAACCAAATAAATAAATAAAAGCATTTTGGTCACCAAGTTGATTTTTTTTTTTTACATTACACACAAATAAATGCAAACATTTTAATCTCCATTGAAGAGGATTCTGTTGTTGCGGTGTGGGTTAATGGCGTTGACCAAAAGACTGTTGGCTGGTAATGAACGAAAGATGAAAACACAAATCACTGCTTAGTGACACAAGGAAGCACTTACTGTTGCCTGCAATGAATCTCAATCGCTTTTACATAGCCGGGAAAATTAATTCAAACACCATGGGATACACCTTGAAGTGATTACTAATCCATACAAACACAGATGATTGGGATTTAGTGGTAATTGGTAGCAACTGAGTTACTAGAGCCAGAGAGCCAATTATAACTAAATTAAAAACCATAAACAGAGCACCAAGCAAACCCCATGCAAAAAGGGGATCTGAATAGAGAAAAAGCTGTTTAATGGTACTTTGCGCCATTTTACTCCCCAGTGAAAGACACAAATTCCTGAGAAGGAAGCGGGCACCCAGGGAGAGTTTCATCTCACAACAAATCCCATATTTTGTCCCTCCACTGTCTTCTGTGTCACCTCCCGGAGAGACAAATGATTAATGCGGTGGATGTGAAGGTTGGCATTACAATTTACCCTGCAACCTCTGGGGTGAGTAACGGGGCAAGCCGAGCCCCAGGTCTCTGCATCTTTAAAGATAAAATGCGGGTTCAGCAACACGGCGGAGGGGTAACTTAGTTTTCCCAGCCTCCGTGGCATTTTACCACGGGGGTCCATATTTTGAACCAGCTACATTGAAGTAAAGCGACAAAAATCAAGTTAAATAGAAAAATAAAATCCCAGGCGTACGTTCTGGTATCAGTGTATTTGTCCTGCCACCAACTGGGGAACAGAGTGTCGAATGATAATATTTCAAACACTTTACATAAAATAACATTATGCTTTATGACGTTCGGAGGCTGGTAAACAAAATTGTGTAGACAAGTCAGAAAAACGCAAAAATATTTCCATTTTATTGCCAGTTTAGTATTGGTTGTCTAAATTCACAAATATGTGGATGTCTAATGTTCTCCCTGCTACATTTTAACCATAAAAGCTTTGAACAGGCAATGACTGACTTGCCTGGCAATGCTTCTTTCATTCAATGCAGATAAATTTAAATCAACTCAATAAGATTCATTTAAAGTTATAAAATGCCAAATCACAGCAACTTTACTTGATGAACAGATGCATGTGTTCATATTCAAAAATATATGATTAAGTCAATTCAAATGCAATCTGTCCAGATCTTGAGGGATTTGTCGTCCATCCAGTGAATTCTGAGTCTCCCTTGGGGTTTTCCTTTCAATGTGAGTTCAGAAAAACTCCAGTGCAGGAGACCGAGGAGGCAGAGGCTCAAACCATCTCGACTGCCTCCTTTCGATGAAGAAGAGCAGCTACAAATTTCTCGTTCTATTTTAAAGGTCTGGTCCAGTCGACCCTCCAGAGGTAGTTCATTTCAAGTTAATATATTTTGTCAACAATCTCATTCAAATCTCATGAACATAGTTGCAGGTCAAAAATGAAATGACCTCCATCTATAAACATGGTCACTGACAAGAAACATGTGTCTTTTCTAGCAGCCATTGTACAGTGCACTCAGTAAAACCAAGTGACCAAATGTGATATGTTTATTTTCAACTAGAAATATGCAAAATAGTTTGATTTCTTAAAGGTAAGCAACAGGTGAAGTTTGATAGATGAAGCTAAGCATTAAAGCTAGTAGTCATACCAACCTTCTTTGAAATAACTGATTTAATGTCAACCAATGCTATTCATTTGATTAGTTAGCTTGACTAACTAGTCCATAAAACCATTTAAAGTCTTCATTCAGGAACATATTGTCCCAAATCTTATTCACTTTTTCAAATCGATCTTAGTGAGAATCCTAGTTTGTCTGTTTCACTGTGATTTGTTTCAAAGAAGTCAATATGCTGTACAACTGAACCCTCAAAGTAGGTTAAGCAGCACAATTTTATTTTTGATAGTTTTATAATTACTCTCTCAATATTTTGTTGTCCTGTTAATTTTCGTGGTTCCATGTTTCGTGTGCATGGATGTCCTGACTGTACCCGACAAATAGTACATTGAAAAGTTGGCTTGTCTTTAGCTCAGCATAAAGTAAATGCCAAATGCGTCAGATGATCTAAACATCTCACAACAATTTTATGCGTAGTTTACCAGGAACTTTAAAAAGTGCAAATCAGCTCAACGAATCTGATCATGTGCGTAATAACTCTCTGTTCTGAGAATTAATTAATGGATGAATGAGCGAGTTTGTTTTATCTAGCTGAACGAGAGAAATAAATCTTGCTGATGCTATTTTTTTCCCAGATCCCCTCAGTGTCATTGGCATTCATTGAAAAGAGATCGGACACCTCTGGGCAGTTCGCGTTCCCTCCAGTGGCTGCTGTACAACACAACACTAACAACAATAACAACATCAAGCTGCTCTCGCTCGCAGAGCCCAACAAGAGCGGCTACTGGGAGGCATTTCCACTTCCAAGGTGACCTCTGCTGCTTCGATGTGCTGCTGTGGGTGCAAACGTGGATGGAACAAGTCAAAAAGACCAAAATTATCTGGGTGGACGTATCAGCAACATATTGTAACAACAGGGAGTGCATTAATATGATTCCCTAGATTACATTCGTCTATGCTTTTACAGTTTAGAAACACTGCCGTTACATTGCTGCAGTCAATAAATCCACTACTGTTGTTTTCAAAGTAACCCATTTTTGTGCTTTAACTGTGTTTTGACGTCGCTCTATTCCACTATAAACACAACATACATAGAAAATGTTTTCGGGAAGTGCTACACTGTCCAGGTTTAAGGTTTTCCATCAAGACGTTGATGTCCGAAGCGCAAAAATACATGTAGAATAACATATCAAAAATAATTTGTGCATTTTGCCTTGAATAAATGTCTAAACAATTTGTAAATCTTTCTTGAAGACTTGTGTTTTATTTATGGATTTATGATCCATAAATGATCCATAAATGAAATGATCTTCAGTAGGAATTTAAAATAGTTTTGAAAAGCATCATGGAAAATAAAAACACAATATGTCAATAATCAATTTGACATATTTTCAACACCTTCAGACTTTTGTTTGTGCATGTCAGACGACTCAATTTACCGGAGTCAAAATGTTTTTTCAAATAAAAAAATACACTGCTGTTGGTGGTGCTAATCTAGAATATTATAATTTTATGTGCACTTTGACTGTTGTGGAAAAGTACTTTAAATGTCTACTCAAAAACAGATCAAGGAGACAAGAGCTACTCTCTGTTATTATGGGATCAACATTTTTCTGTTTTTAGTACCTCAACATAAAAGTCAGAGAAGAGAAACATTTCCACACTATAAATGAAGTAATTTACACCATCATAAAGTTTGAACAACACAGGGTCTTACATGCAATGCCCGTCTGTGTTTAGGATCCACTTAGACTGGAGTGTGAAATGGCATTGTTTCTGTAATTAGCAAAACATGGATGTTAAAACGGCTTTTACACTATCAAGCAAACATTGTCCACATGGCATATCCGTTAAATGAAGCATTCAGAGGTATGCATGCAACAATAATTTGATTAGAATAACCTATATTGTCAGGAAAATAAAGTTTTTTCCTGGGTATATAGAACAAAAAGATTTAATGACAACACCACTTCCAGGAATTCTCTTTAAAAACAATATTTTATTTTAGATTATTGGTATTGTTATATACATGGCATAAGTTGTGCTTTTTTACTATCAAGAATAAACCAGAAGGGAACACATCAGGAAATTAAAATCCAAACTTTAAACTAGGATTGAACTGTTTTTCTCTTCTTTTTTTTGTCTGGTGGATATACTGAGTCCTACAAAATGAGGATAAAAGGGAAGAAAAAAAGTCAGAAAATTAAATAGATAGGTAGGCAGATTGATAATAGTTCAGAGACACGGATGGTCCGCTGAGGGTAGTGTGAAATCCTCCAACTGTGATGTGCTTTTACCAACAGTAGCAAAGGCACCAGTGTATAACTTTGTTAAAAGAAAGGAAAAAAGAAAGAATGCCTCAGGGCCATTGTTCCAGTTGAGTCAACACACACACACACACACCCACACACACACACACCCACACACACACCCCCCCCCCCCAACACACACACACACACACACACACACACACACACACACACACACACACACACACGTGCACAGACACAACCAACCTCCATCCACAGTTATTGTCGTTAGGTTTCTACCACATGTGAATGCTTATTATCATTTTGAACTGTCGCGAATGATGAGTGAAAGATTAGTCAGCTGGAAATCATTCAGTGTTGAAGAAACGTGTCTCAGTTTCCCAGCCTCTCCCGTGATGCAGCCGCAGCTTTGGAAATGGGTTCTGGCGTTTCAAAATAGGGGTCAGATCTCCTGGCATCAAAGCGTGCAATGTCACAAAAAAGAGCGTAATGAATGGGCATGTCAGACATAGGATGGAGGAAACAATATGAAGATATGTCATTGAATGATTGATAAGTAAAAGATGTGATAAAAAGACAAGATGGGTCCTGACTGATGGAAGAGAAGTAGAGAGGGAGAGCAGATATTCTGCAGGCAAAGGCAAGCCTAGTAAAGATCATGAAACTGAGCTCACTGAACACTGAGTGTTTGAAAAGTACAGCAGCAAAAGGTTTCTAAAATACGATGGAAAAAAAAACAAGATGAAAATATTTAATTCTCATTAACATGAGTAAACGTCATCTGCCACTGACATCTCTTACTGAAATTTTCAGTGAGTTACAAAAATGTGTCTTTTTTCCCCAATAGCACCCATAAGACCTTCAATTTGACTTAATATTCACATTTCTCTATCTTTTTCAGTTAATTTAATTGGATCATATACCCAAAAGATGATGTTTTGGGATTCAAAATATGCAGGAAAAAAGAGAGAGAGAAGAGGAAAAGATTCAAAACTTTGAGGTCAAAGATTTATAGGACAACTGATTCACTTGTGAAGAGATGATGTTTGCCTCCCACACCTCATTTTTCACAATCTCCCTTTTTTAGCAGTCAAGCGCTGTTGGATAAATAGAAAACAAGGTGGACAGAGAAAAAAGCTAAGGGGAGATATTGATAGATGGGTGAGAACATAAGTTTACAAGGGTTGTTAAGAGGTTAACAAGCAAAAAACATAATTTGGGGTAGAAAAAAAACAACGAAAGGAGATAAAAGACATTAAAGAGTTGAAAATCCATGAGAACAAAATTTGGCGAATGCAAGGTTTAAAGCGCAATTATTTGCATTGGTTTTCCAGTGGGGAAAGTGGGGTTGGAGAACATTGTTACTATCATTTCTACACTGATGCAAAAGGTTCACGTAACAACGTTGGGTTGAAAGACTAAAAGGGTCGGGCATTGGGGGAAGGCCTTTCTGGTATAGATTGGTCCATTGGGCAGCCTTTAGCTTCCCACAAGACAAAACTCATTGTCTGATTAAATTTTATTAGCTACCCATTGGGCTGAGCCAACGTGTTCACTCACGTCTGTCACCGTAGCCAACTGATATGTTAACCAGGAGCACATGTCCACCTCCCCCGGGTGGTATTTTCAGTTCACAATTATTTCTCTTTACCCAACGGAAAAAAAAAAAAAAAAAGCAAAACAAAAGCTTGTTTTTTTTTTCTCCTTGAAAGTTTGGTCAAACAGTGAACAAACAATGCAAATCCCATGAATAATCCTCAGGACTTGTAGGGTCTCTCCAGGCTGCAAATGCAAAAGGAAGAGACGGCCAACAAAGGCCCGAGCCTTAGACTGCCCATTTATGTCCATGAGTGGTCTTAGTATAAAAACCATCTTTTGTGTCTTGCCAAGTCATTCATCCTTGTTACTCGCATTGGCCACAGACCAATCCTTATTAATTTGATTTGTGTGCTGCTGGCACCGGCCTCACACAGGCTCTTTTCCATGTTGATTCAGTCCGTTAGCGGCCAGTTCCTTGGTACCAAGTCCCACAGTTCTTCTTGATCCCGTCTCTTAGCGAGCCTCACCTCCCTACCATTTGTGAATCCGTGTCGCTCGATTGCCGAACATGCGTGACGCTTCAGCCACGCGTCGGTCCTCGTTGATTCCGACCCTTAGCTGTCGATGGCTTCGATCCAAACACACACGTTCCTTCGTTCTGCGGTCTGCTGGCTAGCGTCAGCTCCAAGCTTGTTAGTCCATATGTCCTGTCTCTTTACGAGCCTCTAATTCTCAACTCCAGAGACAAAAGTTACTAGTGGTTTGGCAGGTGGATCCCTCCTCAGCTGGGGACAGGTAGAGCTTGCCATTAGCGCAGGCACATAGCTCGTACACAGTCTGTTTGGTGTAAGTGGTGCCTGGCGGAGCCCCTTCCAGTGGGTCTACAGCACTGCCGAGGGGGATGTTGCCCAGCTTGATTGTGTTGGCATCTAGAAAGATCTGTTGAAACACAAAAGAGACGACAGAAATTTTTCAGTCAACAACCATTCAATGCGATGAAAGGCATGTACACATATCGATGGTGATTTAAGGTCTGCGGGGGGGTTGAGCTCACATGGACTGTTCTGCGTTCCTAAAATAACATGCAAACAAACAGCAGAGAAGAAAAACAACAAACATTGTTCTTGGTGCAGCAGAGGAAGAATGTTGCTGTAGGCAGTGACTATACTCTCACTGAGTCAAATTGTCTGAAAAACTCCATAGAGGGCAAGAGGAAATGTTTATTTAGGAATATTTTTCTGTTTATGGGGGAAAGGAAAGTAAGTAACATAGGTGAAGGGAAAGTTAGATGTGGAAAAAGATAAAGAAGTGTGTGGGCAAAGAGAGACAGGTGGATGTACAGAGAAATTAGAGACAGTAAAATTGTTTGGTTTCAGGCGATGAATGTTGTTGTGTCGAAAAATGTGAGTGATACCAGTATAATCCTGAAGAAATGAAGCACATTCAGTGGAACCTTCAGGTATGTTGCATCTTTAAACTATGAACGTTGCTTTTGACTTGAAATCAGTTTGTGTAATATGGGAGAACAGGACTTCAATGTTTTTTTGTTCATTTATTATGTCTTTTGCTATTTTAAGAATCAACTGACCATCTGAGACTATTTGAGTGACGCCACATGGTTCAGTGATTACTTGCAGAATTACTCAGAAACTGGGTGATGCTGCTGTCAGTTCAACAGTTCTTTTTATGGGTCATTTGATCTCCGTCGGGTGGAGATGGAGCGTTTGCATAGCTTGGCATGAGATTTTAGCATTGCTATAACTGGGTGACTTCTGCTAAATTTGATAATAATTTTCTAAATTTAATTTCAGGGAAGAATAGATGGAACAATTTCAGCTGCTCAGAGTGGCCATGTTAATGCAGCAGAATTGAACGGTCTGGCTTGACTTCAATTAGCATATTATGCTGTAGTTTTAGATACAAAGGAAAATTAATGCTTTAGCATTAAATTATGAAAGTCTCAAGTTTTCCTAAGCCATGCAAATTCACAGTAGATAGGGGATGAGGATAATTTCTTCATGCCCTGCTGGGTATTAATAAATCCCCCGTCTCCTTAATTCTGCCCTCTGATCAGTTGGGAATCGTTACTCAATCTTGATTTCTATCGACTGCCTCATTTATTTACTCCTGTGTTCGAGGGAAGTTTAGATCTCTATTTTTCCTTTTTCACACACACACTTATTTTTCAGTTTTTTCCCCCCCACCTCTATGGCTGGATAGTTTCCTCAGCAGATATTTGTATCCCCATTATTCATGTACTTCAATTTAAAAATGAGGACAGGGGAAGTATAAATGGGTAAGGAAAAATTGCTTTGAGTGCAGAAAGAAAGAGACAATGAGGAGAGAAAGGGCTGATGGAAAGATGTGAGAGGGGCGATAGAGAGGAAACGGTAACACAAACAGTTTTCTCAAAAAAAAATGGATGACATAAATTAAGTTAAATGAGATAAATCTCGCACAAAAGACTTCCCATACCTAAAGGGTTTGGATACCTCCAAGGATAGGAAGCAACTGATGATGCCACAATGGCTGACACGGTACATATCAGTCTGGATAAACAAGGCACATACACACACAAAGACTTTGCATGGACTTCTGATTATTTGTCATCCATTTCTACAGCCTAACCCAAACCCTAACCCCTAAAACCATACACTGGGTCATCACCACATAGTATTTGTTGAAAAAAATGAAAACACACACACACAGACGTCTCTTACTTTCAATAAATGTAGACTAAAAACAAGACATTCGTTTGACAGCAGCATGAAGGCAAATGAAGTCTAGCAACCCAACCTGGAGAATGCTACAGGAACAACACTGCCTTTATAAGGCGAAACACTCCGACTCCGAAAAGGTCTCCTGGATGTCGCTGCCGCGCTGTTGCTTACATCTCACACATGTTGCGGCAGCTCTAACACAGTCGGCGTGAGCCCCGGCAGACAGAGAACTTAAATGAATTGGTCGATCCCAACATTGTCTTTGTCCAACACTGATAATTCGGGCAGGAAGGTCAAAGCTATGTTCAAAATCTCAGAGAAGTAACTAGAAAAATACCAACTCACAACTTGTGTCACTTCCTATCATGGCATTATATTAATTTATTTATGTATAAATGAAAATACATTGCAACTTTCATTGTAGTTACATAACTTTTGTAGGAAAAGCATGTATGTAAGGCATGTGTGATGTTTTTCTAAGTTGCAATGCTCCTGCTAAGAATTGTATTAACTAAAAATCTGTGGAAGTCAGAGTTTAATGGAAATTATACAAAGTTTTAACTATTTTTACAGCCATGGACATTGATTACGTACAATAGGAGAAGAGATAGCATAGCAATAGCATGATGCCTTTTTCATGTGAAGTGTCTAATTTAAATACAGAAACCTTTAGCGGTTCTTAGATCTGTACTAAGGCTTGTGTGTCTGTAGAAAAAGTTCCTCGGCGGATTTATTTCGATATGTTTTCACAGCAAAAACCACAAATTTGTTGCTTCTCCATGTTTTCTTTTCCTGCTCAGACCTGACATTAACAAGAGTCCATGGCGGTATTTTCACAAATGGACAGGTGTGAACACACTCCGGACAGACTGAGAGCGCACTCAGCTCCAATAACTCTCGCCATATTTGAAGGGGGATCTCAGGTGGTCTGTAGCACCTGTGGCTCCGTACATTATTACGCTGTGAACACATTGGAGCTCTGGAGCACGTTAACCACAAACCACTCATCAGTCGTAATGGTTTGCAGTGAAGAGAGTTTCATTTTGGTGGTTTCCTTCGTCTTTGTGGAAAAACACACGCACAGCCCAAACTTGCAGTTTTGCATTGTTCACAGAAACCCCTTCCTGCTGTTTTGTGTGCTAATCTCTCTGCAGCGACACTAAAGATAGAAGTGCCAAACATCAGAATGGGTCCTTCTCGCTCCGGGAGTTTTCTTTGTATCTCGCCTTGCCCCAAATGTTTAGAGCAGGTTTCCCCCCCGTCTTATGTCTTCAAGGACCTGTTCAGAAATAAAGAGAAAACACTGCAGCGAGCTGTAAAGCTTCGGCTTGTCTTTTGTGAATTTGCAAAGGTGTGCTGAGACTGAACTCGGTTGAATCTTGAACATGCTAATCCGCCTCAATCAGGACTCAACTTCAGAGTACCGAATCTGTTCATGTTGATTAACTTCATGCTTATCTGCACCAGCTCATTTAAGAAATTTCATTCAAACATATATTTGTGTGTTGGTCACGCAAATCCGTGTGTATTTGATTCCATCTGATCACTTCCTTCACTTGTTTCTGAATTAGGTGTTTTTTTTTTTTTTATGTTTTCCTCATAAAAAGAGTAAACCTTTTGCACACATGGCTAGAAAAGAAAAATAACACAAAGCATCTCAAAATGTCAAGGCATGTTTTTAATAGGTCCCTGGTGTTCTCTTGCCATCTTCTCTTTATCTCCCTAATAAGAGCTGCTATGACTCACTCACAGCTTTGAAAGGTGAAAGGATTCAGTCGTATTCGGCACCAGAACTCAATTTGTTTCTAACTACCTTCGTTTCGCAGAAATAAAAGCCTAAAGTTAATTTAGGGACAGCATTGGACTGAGTTCAAACGTGGTCGTCTGCAGAAATATTCATTAATTGTTGAAAAAAAAATGTCTAAGTATCTTGAGGTCTTGTTCATGAATGAGGGAAAAATGAAGTGAAGCAAGCATCATGTCAGACTGTAGCAGCGAAGAGACAGCTCAGGCAAAATTTGCAGGTCAGACAACATAAAATGTCTTAAACTGAACTAATCTTCCACTTATTTTGAAGGTCGTCCGTCCAGCAGGACAACGGCCCTGGACTTACAGCCAGAACTACAATGAGAAGCTCGGAACGGCAGTAAAAGTTCAGGCTGAAATCCAATTGAGAATCATTTGGCAACACTTCAAAGTTCAACTTTCCAGATGCTTTCCATCCAGACAGACTGATCTTTAAAGTGCCTCTGACTGCCAGGTTGACATATTGTCATCAATAAGCCGATTCCCGACAAAAAAGCAACATCAGTGCACCGCTCTACCTCCAAAGACACACAGTCCAAACAAGTAAAATGATCTCATTCGAGACAGAATCAAATTCAAATCCAATTACATAAACTCCAATCCATTCAAACTGTTAATAATTCAGCGCAGTCAGTTTCAATGAAATTATGACACAGTGGAATTAAAATTTTTTAAAAAGTTATGCAGCTGATAAAGCATATGATTTGCATTCAATTTTCACTTCGAGCCAGTTAAGTAGTTGACTCAATAAAATAGATTTCAGCGGTCACGCGTCTCAGCTCAGAACTAATTAGATGTGACAGAAGGAGCTCTGACAGAAACCTGAGGGTTGTTCAGATTAGAGGAGACAATACGGGGGACTTTGCTGCCCCGCAGTTGAAAGACATTATCTTATTTATAACTTTGTCAGGAAACATCTCTCAGTTCAGCATCAAAACCGGAAGAGAAATCGGTAACACTTTATTTGACAGGGAGTGCATTACACTGACATGACGCTGTCATAAACATGAAGGAGTCTTTATGAACGTCTATGACTGCTTTGAAGTGACATCCTGTAAATAATGACACTTTCAATCCAAAGTTGTTCTAAAACTGGCATTAAAAGTCCATTCAATAACGCATTGAAAGTGTCTTTATTTACTGAGTGACACTTCATAGCAGCAGTCGTAAATATTCATGTTCACAACTGGTGTTATATCATGTTTTTGACAATATGATGTCAGTCTTATGCACACCCCCTCAAATAAAGTGTCACTGAGAAATCTTCCTCCAAGCATTTAGGTGGGATAATAAGACAGAACAAAAACAAGAATTTAAGGGACTCTTAGCAAACTATTATTAATTAATTAATAAAAAAATATATATTGTATTTGTGTAAATAAAAATGTGTTTTAGCAGCAAAACAACAACAAA